TTATTAAACTACTGCCAATATGCAGACAGACCATGCTCTTTTCTGCCACACAAACTCAAAGTTGAAGACCTGGCAAGGATTTCTTTAAAAAAGGAGCCATTGTATGTTGGTGTGGATGAAGACAAAATTAATGTCACAGTGAATGGTATTGAGCAGGGATATGTTGTTTGTCCCTCTGAAAAGAGATTCCTTCTGCTCTTTACATTCCTTAAGAAGAACCGAAAGAAGAAACTCATGGTCTTCTTTTCATACTGCATGTCTGTGAAATACCACTAGGAGTTGCTGAACTACACTGATTTGCCTGTCTTGGCCATTCATGGGAAGCAGAAGCAAAATAAGCGTACAACGACATTCTTCCAGTTCTGCAATGCAGATTCCGGGATATTGCTGTGCACGGACGTGGCAGCGAGAGGGCTGGATATTCCTGAAGTCGACTGGATCGTTCAGTATGACCCTCCAGATGACCCTAAGGAATATATTCATCGTGTGGGTAGGACTGCCAGAGGCCTGAACGGAAGAGGGCATGCCTTGCTCATTTTGTGCCCAGAAGAATTGGGTTTTCCTTCGTTACTTGAAGCAGTCCACGGTTCCACTAAGTGAATGTGACTTTTCCTGGTCTAAAATTTCTGACATTGTCTCAGCTTGAAAAATTGATTGAAAAGAATTACTTTCTTCATACATCTGTCCAGGAAGCATACAAGAATACGAGCATATGACTCCCACTCTCTAAAGCAGATCTTTGATGTTAATAACCTAAATTTGTCCCAGGTTGCTCTGTCATTTAGTTTCAAGGTGCCTCCTTTTGTGGATCTCAATGTGAACAGCAGTGAAGGCAAGCACATAAAGAGAGGAGGCGGCGGCGGATTTGGCTACCAGAAAAGCAAGGAAGTTGAAAAGTCCAAAATCTTTAAACACATTAGCAGGAAATCATCGGACAGAAGACAGTTCTCTCAGTGAACACAAGTTCCTCTGATCTAGAGCAACCCTTCTGAAATGAATTTATTTTCCTTTACAAAGAAATTTTTGTAGTCCTTTTAGTCTTTCTCATCTTTGCTGTGATCATATAATTTTTCAATTTTAAATACTCCCTGCAAAAATTGTTGTTACTGTCTTATTACCAGCATAATTTTTTTTGTAGCTTTCCTTTATGCTACAGGAAGGCTTTTGTGGCACGCACTTCTATGCTGACGTACTATACAGAGTGACTTGGTATGCTGCTAGGTGGTGGCAATGCAGAAGCAAGTCTAGCCTCACCCTTGGGGTCTGGGTCTTAGACCTCAAGAGTGGTTTGGAGCAGCTCCTGAAAATGCAGTTGGAAAGGGCACGGCACTTCAAGAGACACACAGGCAGCAGCTGTAGGTAAAAGCTGTCATTTTGATGCTTCGGGCCTTACAACAACAAGCTTAGCAAGGACAGTGGGTCGATAGGTAGGTGGTATTTTATGTTTATTGCGAGGTGATTTGGATGGTAGTAAAACCTTCCAACTGTGCAGCATAAAGACAAGGGCAAATATCAGTAGACTTAACACCAAGTCTAAAATAGTGCCCAGTGTGTACGTTAAATTCTTTTTGAGGAAAAAATGATCTCTTCCAGGTCCATGAAAAAAGTACATCGGTGGTAAAAATTGCAGCAAACAGATTAGAAAACACAGGAATGTTTTTGTGTAGGACCACTTGATTTGTAGTGAGTTTTGTGTGGTGTGTAACTACAAAATAGCTAATGTTAGTAGCAATTCAAATTGCTGTCATGCCATTTATATTCAGAATCTGGTTAAATGCAGTTATGCAGAGGACATCAAGTGTAGAGAAAAGAGGTCAATGAATGGCAGTACAGTGGAAGACGAAGAGACCTGCAGCGGCCACTTCCGCGTGACCATTGTCCTGGCTGCACTTCCTTGGATTTCAGACCTAGCTACTGAACATCTGGCTTGGCTTCTTGGATTCCTGACTCCTGGCCTAAAATAACTTTCTTCAATACTGTTTGCTTCAGAAACAATTATGTTTCAAAAAATATGCAAAAGCAAAGGAAGAATAATCACTGGACTGAGGTAATACTGAGGACAGAATTGGTATTTTGGTATGTGACCTTCTAGATTTTTATAAGCATATTTATACTTTTTTTTTTTACCAAAAGTGAAGTTATCTTCTGCCTACTACTTATAACCAGCTTGTTTCATATCATTTCCTTGAGTCATTTTATAAAAAAGAAATACACACACACACACACACACACACACACAAAGAAATACACAGAGTAATTATCAAGATTTCTAGGAAACTTTTACATTAGTATTTAACACATTCAAAGGCCCAATTCTTTTTCATTTTTTAATGGTAATTTTCCATTAAGATTTTAAAGTTATTAAGCATGGAAGAAAAACTATCACCTATAACTACTATAATCTTTGATAAACTTAAATCATCTATAGGCTATTAGGAATGTATAACAATTACATAATCAACAATACTATAAGCTTTTTATATATGTGACAAACCAGGACAGTGAATTTGCAATATAAATCAGGAATAAATAAAATATATCAGGGTGTGAGGAAGGCACTGAAAAAATGTGAAAACAGCATTATAGACAATCTTAAAAGGGCTGGCCTGATAGCTCAGTGGACTAAAGTGCCTGCTTAGGCAGAGCACAGCAGCCAGGGTTTGATCCCCAGTGTGCAGTGTCGGTCCCGCCCCCTGGGGTGTGCTGAAATGAAAATCAAGACTGGGCATGGTGGTGCGCACCTGTAATCCCAGTGTTTGGGAGGCTGAAAACAGGAGGATCACTACAAATCCAATCTATGCAGTGAGACCCTGTAGGCCATGTATCCCCTGTACTAAATGCATTAAAAAAAAAAAAAAGAAAAAGAAAAAAAAAGATTAGACAATCTTCAACTGGGTTGCTGTATCAGTTGCCTGACATAGTAAACAATATTAATATAGACCATACCCTAAACTAGCTCAAAGTAGTACATATTGTTATCTAAGGAACAGTACTAAAAATTGTAAGGTACTACAATTTTATTTAAAAGCCATTCTAGTTCTTGTAGGGATGACAGACATTTATTTCTCAATAGCAGGACTCATAACTATATTCATAAAGAGCTAAAATACTGTAACTCCAACTTCTATAGGATAAGATTTATATGAAAAATTTGATCTCTCTCAATCACTAGAAATTAACCTGCCATGAAAATATATCTCATAAATCTAATAAATTTATGCCACTCCAACACACCATGAGAAAGAAATGAAGTGTAAATACCCAGTCAAGAGAAGGAATACTGATATGAAAAGAAAGCCGTAAGCAGAAAGAAATGGAGCTTACAAACTATCTAGGAGGGAAAGACATTCAAAAGATGGGTAAATATCACAAAGGACTGTAATCTAAAGTGACTACTTCTTAATTACAAGCTATGTTATCATTCACAAATGAAGTATTTTAAAATTCTTTTTATATTGTTAACAGTGGTTACCGAAATCCCTAAGAAAATTCAAGCAATGTTTGTGGTGGGAGGCTTACATATAAATTTCTGACCTCAAAGATAATATATAATTAAAATGTTCTTCACACCTCTATTGTAAAAAGATGTTCAAATACTCAAGGAAGATGCTCAGAATTTTATTACTCCCAACTCACAAAAACACTGCATAAGCAATCATTAAGTACTAATCCACACAAGGCACTATTAAGTTTGACTTATTCACAATGACAAACTTTGACTTTTTTTTTAAATTACAGCTAAGAGAAACAGGAAAAATAACAGAATACAAATGGGTTTTAATAGTTAATTGAAGTGACTTAAGTACAGACATTTTTACTAGCAATGGGAATACTTCCTGTTATATCTGCTGTCACTTACCCTACAGAATGTTACCTGTGGCAAATGCTGTATCCATCAAAATAATGTGAACACACTCATTCCTTTAACCCTTCTTATCAATTTGTATCTCTAGTATGGCACTTCTGCCCTGGCTTATGACTATTATCAATCCCAAGTCTTTTAGAAAATTTATTTAAAAGTCTGTTACAGTAGTCCCTTGCTATTTTGCAGTTCGACCTTTGCAGACCATTTCATGTGTTTTAAAAAAAATTAATCTAATTTATCGTGGATTTTTCACTATACTGCAGGATTTTGCAATACTGTACAGTACACATGTTATTGAAATTATGTAGGTTTACAAGTCTGGAAAATGGTTAAGAATATTAGAAGTGTTTTTAAAAGTGTGGGAAAGGTTTACAAGAATGTGGGAAGGGTTTATAAAGCCTTAAAATATAAATACTAAAATAAATACAATGTCACTACTTCAATGATTTTCACTTATTGCAGGGATGTCTGGAATATAACCTCCATGATAAGTGAGGGACCACTGTGTATCTAAAAGAAGTCACTTTCTAATATACAATTCCATTTGCTTAGAAACATAACCAAACCAATATCAAGTTTAAACATGTCAAAAGTCAACAAAAAAAAAAACATATCAAGTACTAGCTTGCACAGGTAATCTCATTATCTAAAAAAGGACAGACTTTAGGAATTAAAGCACAACTCTTGCAGAGTTTTCGTGTTTTAAAGTGATGCGTTTTCACTGTGTAGTTTAGGCTGGTCTTGAACTCACGTACGTAGCCTAGGTTGGACTTGACTTCAAGGGCCTCAGCCTCCTAACTGCTGGCATTACAGGAGTGTAACACCACACCTGGTTATTCTTAAGTGTGTGAATGAACCAATTCGGAAGTACAAATGAAACAAAACTACCTTGGAAATGAGGTAGTTTTTCCTGTGGGAAAATTCTCTATGGAGCAATATAATGAATTATGGCTCTACCATAAATGTAGAACCACACATTACCTCTATCTAATGAGACAAAAAAAGACTCAGGTAATTAGCAAAAACATCATCCCCTATTCAACCTAAGTTATAAAAAAGAAAATGTTCTGTAAAAATGGTTTCCCATTCTTGGTATCGTAAAACAGTGATAGGAAGAAGAGATTAATCATAGTACCTCTGGGTGGCAAGTCCATATCCCCTGATGTTAGTCCTATCAAGTTAGGCCTTTGTGCATGCACTCTGTGTCTATACATAGGTCTAGAAGTATTTGTTATGCTTGGAGCTTCAGGATTGTAGCCATCTGTGTCATATGCATCTGGTAATACAAAAACTGCAATTAAAAAACAATTATAAAACTCCATTTGGTAATTTTTAATGCTGACAGTAGAAACAGTAAGCCATCTAACAAATTACTAATATAACTACCATGTTTTATAAGTATTACAATGAAGTTCCATAAAAGCAAAAAATATTAAAAGGTAAAGTTTTAAAAATAATCATAACAGGAATTATTTAATAGTCACAAAGCCTACAAGGTAGTTAACATAATTTAGTGAGAAAAAAATGATTCTAACGAAGCAATTAATCTTATAGACATTATCAAATTCCTTATTTAAGACTTTGATTTGGGCTGGCGAAATAGCTCAGCAGATTAAAGAGCCTGCAAGCAGGCACAGGGGCCGGGGTTCAATCCCGGAAATACTGTACAGGCCCCACCTCCAGGGCACGCTGAGAGGGCAATTGAGACTGGGCGTGGTGGCACGCACCTGTAATCTCAGCTCTGTAAACAGGCAGATCACTATGAGTCCGATCTAATAGTGAGACCCTGAATACCCTGTAGACCCTTTCACAAAATATAAAAAAAATAAAGAATAAAAAAAGAAAAAAAAAGGACTCTGCTTTAAAGCTAAGGTACATGATGCATACAGAGTGGGCCAAAACTGCACCTGCAGTAAAAAGAGAGGGTGGAGCAGGAGGAGGCTGGTGATGAATGCCAGTTGTTACAACAGTGGGAACGGAGCTGGTTGCAGAGTTCGGTGGAGCATCCATGCCAGATGGCTGCAGAGGAGGAAGGGGAGGCGGTGGTCCTGTCAAAACCAAAGAATAAGAAATATCATCTGAAAACAAACAAATAAAATAAATTACTAATATATAAACATACTTTTCTTTATCAAATTGTAATACCTTCTATCAACACAAAGCTCTTACAACCTAACGTGCTTTCTTGTTATGAAAGCCTTTTAATGCATTCCAAAACAAGTTTGCCTTACACAGCATCATAAGCAGGCAACTGGAGTGCATCAGTAGTGTAGGTAATTCATAGGGCCATTCCAAACCACAGTAACTGCTTTGGTTCTGGCTGCAATGCTTACATATATTCCAAATGAAAGTATTTCATTGAATTTCTACAGATAGCTGCATGATAGGTATACTTTTTAAAAAATCAAACTGAACCGATTTAACTTAAAGAAAAACTATTAATGGACAAATAATAAATACACACCAACAAATGTTATATACTGACCTGTGACAGGTGGGAGACTGGGAGGTAATGGACCTGGAGGTGGCACTGGGGGTCTAAGATTCACAGGTGGTGGTGTAAGGATTGGGGGAGGTGGGGGAAGTCCAGGAGGAGGTGGTCCTTCAACAACAGGAGGCTGTGCTGGGAAAGGCAGCATACCAGGAAGATTGACATCTTCTACAACTACTGGGTCACTTCCATGATCAAAAGGGCACATGTCACCTCTCATACAAAAACCTTTTTCTGTGAGTAAAGAATAGTTAGAAAAAAATGTGAAAACTACTGGAAATACAAATAGTCTGTAAGTTACAAAACATAAATCTTTCTAACAGCAAAAGTATAACATTTAACCCTTTTTTCCACAAAGTCATCTACTCATTTTCAGTAACATAAGTATATTTATCAATTTTCCTATGGATACCTCAAGTTTGTCCTTCTTTACACCAGAGTATTAGTCCCTTACAAATAAGATACAACACTTTGTTTATTCAATCCTTCAGTGGTATTCAGGCCACTTCCAGGATTTAGCTATTACAAATTTTGCTTTAAACATTGGCATAAACATTGGTATTCATACCAATAACAATGGTATGCGTGTATTACTGCAGCAGACACACAAGCTTAGATACCACACTGTATTTCTTATTTGACTGAGGCAAACTACAAACAAAGACAATTAGAAAGGATGGGCAGAAAGGCACAAGGGGTAAAGAGGAGAGGAAGGGGAAATGAAAATAAAGATGTGTCGTGTACAGGACTCCAGTAACTCCAATCAATGTAAACATTATATGCCATAATATAAACTAAGACAAAAATGCCAACAAATATGTAAAAGGTGATAGAGGAACTAGAGGATGGGAGCAGAAGGGAGGGCCAGAGTTAGGGTGAAAAAAGTTGTAAAAGGTACACATAGCCACTCTCCAAGATGATTATAAACTATGTCAAGTGTGAATATGTACCAATAAAAAAAAGAGGTCAAGTTAAAATGTATTAAGTGCTAATGTCTAATATGCATATTATCTAACATAACCATATATCTAAAAAGAATGTATAAGCAAATAAAAGCTAACTAGCAAAACAACACCACATTTAATTTTTGGCATACTTTTGTCATTAGAGACAAATCCTTCATTTAAACCTCTCATTTTAAATTACAAGAATATTGCAACTCTGGCTTTAATAAGTTATAAAACTTTTCTTATTAATACTTAGAATTTTCGATTCTCTTATAAAAATCTTATCTAAGTAACACATTTCTAGGTCTTAGTTACATTCTATACTATATTCACTCATTTCTATGCCTTTTTTTTTTTTTTTTTTGGAGTATTGGGGATTGAACTCCCAAGTTGCCTTGCCAGGCTGGTACTTAGGCCAAAGAGCTATATCCCCAGAATCCCCAAACCCTAACTCATTTCTAAAGTGAATTTTGTCACAGTGTATTAGAAGCAGCTTCCTTGAAAAATAACTCAGATGTGAATTTAGAAGTGGAATGGGTGGGTCATTTTCCACATGTAGGTTTTAAAACTCCAATGTCTTAAACCTTGCAGAGAAATAGTCTTTAAGTTGATAATTGGCAGAGATAACTAATGAAAGTTTGTTGTTTCCAAATAACAATAATTATTGGGAAATTCAGGAAATGATAGACTAAGTTCTCAATGTTTCAATACCAGAGAAAAATCTGTGAATAACTGTACAACCTAAATTTACAGAATTTGGGAGGCAGCAGATATAACTGAAAGACTTACCATCATAGTCTCTACACCGTTTCTTTGGCATTGGTGGTCTTACGTAAGAGTTATGGTCCACCTGGTCTTCATGAAATTCAGACCAACTTTCAGTAGTGTTATTACCATGATGTGTAGGAGCAATTACAGTAATTGTGCTGCTCAAAGTAGGTACAGGATAGTGACCAGATGAGATATTAGGTACTGAAGAGACGGGAGTATAATTATTTTCTAATGGATCTGCTCTATCCAAGTCGTACTTAGGTTTTACCAGATCCCTTTCTGCAACAAAATACAAACAACTTATGAAGTACACTGAACCATAAGACAAAATAAACAAAAATCCCAATCCCACTATGTCCCAAATTTAAGAAGGTGGTACCCTTCTGCTATAATAAACAATTTTTTAAGTTCCCTTTCTTTTACAGACTACTCAATTAATACAGACCATTTCAATGTAAGCTATTTCTACTCAATACAACCTAAACTATAAAACTACACATAAAGTTCCACTGTTCAATGAGTTTTTCCTTGAAATTGTTTCTAATGAAATTTATTATCTTCATTACATCTTAGTATAACCCACAAAATAGAACATGTAATAAAAACATGGTATTTTTCCTGATAAATATTTCATCATCATCCATCTACAGACACTGAATTTTTATAATGAACACTATTAAAGATGAGAATGGATATCAAAAGGAACAGAGAGTATGCATATTAAACATAAACGAGGTTGTATAGTTCCAAGAAACAGAAATAATATGCAGATAGGTGGAGCAACGTGCAATGAGAGCTACTACCTATACCTACATTGCAGCCCAGGGAAATACTGTTAAGAAAAATACAGGGCCGGGAAGATGGCTCAGCAGAATAAGCACTTGCCTGGCAAGTACAAGGGCCTGCCTGAGTTCAATCCCCATTTCCACAAAAAAAAAAAAAAAAAAAAAAAAAAAAGAGAGAGAGAGAGAGAGAAAGAAAAATACAGAATATGAGGCTTACACTAAGGCCAAAAACAGTATTAAAAGTGACAAAAATCTATGTTTGAATAAAAATGTTTTACTCAAAGATGCTGTAGTTATTTTTTGGCAATACTTGCCTTTCAATAAGGTATAATAAAAGAAAAATTACATGTCAGAAATGACTTGCTCTTTCAAATACATCCTGAAAGATAACTTGTCAAACTTTTTATAGTGGGAGATATAATACATAGATAAAAATCTAAATTAAAGTGTACAATTTAGTAAGCTATTATATACATATATATCTTAGTAACATATATAATAAGTTGTAATCTATGTATATAACTGAAAAACTAACACTACAATCAAATAATAAACTTACTCATCACCTTCAAAGATATCCTCAGACCCCCCCTTTGTAAATGACTGGTAATCCATTCTTTATCTCAGGCAACCACTCACTAATTTACTTTCTATCATTATAGATCAGTATACATTTTCTAAAATTTTATACACATATGTACTTTTATCTCCCCTCATTCCCTCAACATAACTACTCTGTGAGTATATGTATCAATAGTTCTTTCTCTTTTACTCGATATATACAACCATATGTGAATACCACATCGATATCTTTCTAATGATGAACATCTGGGTTGTTTCTGGTTTAAGACTGTTACACATTAAAGCTAGCACAAACATCTGAGTACAAATCTTTGCATGAATATATGCTTTCATTTCTTCTAGATAAATACCTAGGAGTGGATTGGTAAGTCATTTATCAGGAACAGATTAACATTTTCAGACACAAAGTTTTTTCTACAACTCACTTATTTACATGCTCACCAACACTGAACATAACCTTTCTTCACTGTATATGTCCTGTTAAAGGCACAGAGGTAACTGCAGCTTTAACCTGCAGCTTACAAACATGTAAGAACTTATAAACATATTTTTTTAAAACATTTACTTGGACCACAGGAACATTGTAACAAAAGAGAAAGATTTTCAAAAAATTAAACAATTTTTAAAACATTTAAACATGGAATTTTTTCACAATAAAAGAATGCTAACCAAAATTATGTTTTATTTACCCCTGCTTCGTGTTCTGCTTCTGCTTCTAGTCCTGCTTCTATCTCTGTCCCTGTCACGAAGTCGTTCTTTACTCCAACTTCGGCTTCGACTCCTGCTATAACTGCGACTTCGCCCTCGTCTTCTATTATACCGGTCTCTGTACGAATCTCTTCGGGGAGGGTTTCTATCATAATCTCTTTTGCGAGAACGATCATCTTTTTTCCTTTCATCACGACTTCTAAAAAATATATGATCATTTTTATGCAAATAATAACTACATAGGAAACAAACTGAATGTAAAAGCAATGTTCACTACTTGTCTATCATCAGAATACAAACATGGGAAAGTCAAATTGAAAGTCTTTTTAGTAGTCTAAAACTTTTTAAAAAAAAATTAATGTCTTAGCTTTAGTGTTACACACATCAACATCTATACTGTTAAGCATATGCACACTGTTTTATGTACACTACAGTCTAGTACATATATTCCAGAGGTATTTATGTATCAACATACTCCAAACATTTTGAAGTTTTAATAGAAAAAGTAAATTCCACTAAATGGAAACAAAAAGGTCTCATGTTAAAATTCCACTGCAATCTCAAGTTAGGAATAAAAGTATTATTAACTAATACATGTCAAGCACAATTCTAAATCTTGCTCCCAAGACATACAAATCTAATATGTATTTTCTTGGTATCAAAGTACCTAGCAATATTCTCTTGAACTAATAAAAAAAAATAGGCATTACTTGGTACTATGTAAAAGATCATCAGTCTCCCCAGCTCTTGCTTGGGAGGCTGTAAATAGGTGGATCACTGAGTCCAATCTAGTAGTAAGACCCTGAACACCCTGTAGACCCTTCCTTAAAATACAGGAAGAAAAAATGATAATAATAATAATCAAAGTCTCATACAAAGGTAATCAAAATCTAAAACTGAACATGGTTCAAGGAGTCACTCACCTATTTTCTCTATATCGGGAGCTTGACTGAGGAGGACTATGATTTAGTCTTCTAGAAAATTTCTTCTCTCGCTCTTCTTCCTTACTGATCTGATATATATTTTTAAAAAGGTATATAAGCTTAGTTACTCCTTACCACGCTATTTCAGTAACTTTAAATTAATTCATGTAATATAGGAGCCAAACTGTTAAATTTCTCTAGTAAACATAACCATTTAATTTAACCATAATGAACAGTCAGCTGAAACAGTGAATAATAAAGCAATTCATAAATACTTGTCTTATAAAAATGGTAAGGAAATATTTTAAATCTTATTTTAATATAATTAATGGATAGCTAATTTTACTTCTCTTTCAAAAGTCTAACATATACTCATTTTTGTTTTCATGGACTTAAATCTTACATAAAACACATCAAAGAATATAAGAAGATGCATTTCAAAGGCATTAAAACAGTATCTAAGAGCTGGGGCACAGTTTAGTGGGAGGGTGCCTACTTGTATGAGGCCTTTCCTTGATTCTTAGCACCACCCAAAAAAAAAAAAAGTTCAGAGTATTTGAAAACTCATTACAGTACATCTAGTTTCTCACACCATCATGTCAACCATATATTCCTGTTTCCTACAGGAGACATGCATTTCTATTATGTAACTCCTAGAAAGCAGACATAAAAAACAGTCCCTTGATCAGTGCTACTTGCTTCCAGGCTGTACTGCTTAGAATATGGGACATTAATACGTGATTTTTTAAAAAGGATTTAGTGGCTAAACAAAATCAGGAAACATTGAAAGAAAGTTTCTGCAAATATAGCAGGGTTTAACACTGTAATTTTTTATAAAAATTGTAAAATATTCTGATGTGATCTACAGATACTGTATATATGTCCTCGTTTATGCCAGCTTTTCCAGCTTCCATGGGGTAAGAATCAATTCAGAACAAAACACAATCCTCCTGATACACTTCTTTCTTTATATTTACTTCAATGTACTTGTCTTATTATCTTGTTGCTGGGACAAAATACCCAATACCCACTACTGGATTAAAGGGGGAAAGGTTTACAGTTTGTAGAGGTTTCTTTGCATAATCAGCTGGTTCAAGAAAGGGTTGCATGGCAAACAGGCATCGAAGAGAAACAGTTCATGGAGGACAGAAGGGAGCAAAGCAACAAGGGACAACTATAGTTCTTTCTCTCCCTTGTATCTTACCTAAGCTACTTAGGGCAGGCAGCACTCACACCTTAATCATCTAAGGCAGGGCAGCATGGCAGAGGGGAACAGCAGAAGAGAAAGAAGTCACGGCAATGCAGGCAGGAAGCAGTGAGCTTTTCCTTTTTTCTTATTCCATCCAGGTTACAAGCCTTGTTCAGTGCCACTCACACCCAGAGTATATCCTCCCTCTTCAGCAAATCCATTACTCACACCAAGAACTATGCTTAAACCAACCAGCAGAATGAGCCAGTATCATTCACCCACAATCCAATCACTCCCCAAAGCCCCACCTATGAGAACATGAAGCTTTGGGCAGAGGACACACATGGATGAAGATCTAAATACAAGGACTAACAGCACCCTTGCAAGTAACTTATATTGACAGATAACTATGTTCCATAGCAGGGTGGAAACTTTCAATGCACCCACAGCACTTTAAAGCTACACTAATATCTGGCATTTTGACAATTCTAAATGATAGAGATAAATAACTTCCACAACTGATCAGGAAAACTGATCAACAAAGTATTATTTTTTCATTAGGTATAAGACTAAGGCTTTACCATTAAGTATTTTGGGGAGAAAACTTGCTTCTCAAACCAACACCCCATGATTCAGTCAAGATTTTCTGAGAATCAAAAGCTACACATGGTGGCACATACCTATATTTCCAGCTAGTGGGAGGCAGAGACAGGCTGATCACTTGAGCTCCCAAGCTTGAGACTAGCTGGGTCTGAAAATAATCTAACAAGGTCTCATTTATACTTGTATATATAAGTATACAAGTATACACAAATATACTTGTAAATATATATTTATATATACACATATTTTACAGGCATATATATAATTTTAAATAAAGCAAAAATATTAGTCATTTCCTAAGGAGGCTTTGATACTAGTAAAGCAACTAATACTAAGCAACTTACAAGCATTAACACAAAACATAATTATTAAAAACATAAAATGAGATGACATAGAAGAAAGATGCAAGCCCAGACTTCCAGCTCATCCAGTGAAAATAATCAAGGGGGCACTGAGTGAAAGAAATCAAAATTCAGGCCGCTGAACTTTCTGAGATGGTAGACACGGAAGTAACAAAGAGGACAAATGAAGCTCTTGAAAAAAAATACCAGAAATTTTTCACAGGTAACTAAATGCATGATGACCTTAAGAAGAACATGGTTATCTGAATCTAGAGAAGATACTGATAAAACAAAAATAAAAGAAAAACAAAAAACAGAAGCTTAGGAAACAATGAAAGCCTTGAATGCTCCACACAGGAAAGAACTGGATTTTATGACATCGATTCATACAGATATTCACCAGGAGATTAAAATTCTACTAAAGATATGTAGCAGAATTAACCAATGTGAGGATAGAATACCAGATCCAGAAGGCAGGTGTGCAGTTAGTTATCATTAAATGAAAGACTTCTTAAAAACAGCCATAAAGCCAGGCATGGTGGTACATGTAATGTCAATACTTGGGAGGCTGAGGCAGGAGGATTACTGAGTTCAAAGCCAGCCTGGGCTACAAAATGAGTTCAAGCACATCTTGAACTGCAGTGAACTCTGTCTGAAAAACACCCTTCCCCCCAAAAAAGCACAGGGACTTAAAAAAAAAAAAAAAAAATCAACAGCTGCTAGATAATGTAAATAATAACAAATAAGACTGACTGGAATTAATGAAAATAACATACCACAAATGGTTATTGAAAAACCTGTTCACATAATTACTTGGCAGAAAACTTCTTAAGCATGGAAGCAGAATTTGACAAACAGGTGAGGCATACAGAATTCTACTTAACCATGATCAGAAAAACTACACCAAGGCATATAATACTAAGAATCTAAAGATTCAAAGCTGTTAAAAAAAAAAAAAAAAATCATCTAGAAAGGAAAGCCTATGAGAAGAAACACAACAGATTTCTCCACCACAACCTTTAGTCAAGGAGAGTATGAAGTATTTCAAGCACTAAAAGATAACAGCTTCTAACCTAGTCTGAAAGACCCTACAAAATCTCTCAAAACTGACAGAGAAATAAGCTACTTCTTATAATAAAGAACCAAAAGAAATTCATGACCACCAAAGCAGCTCTCCTCAGGGATATTCTACAAAATGACAACAGCTAAACTCAATAGAATGAATCTGCTAGGCAAGGCAAGCAATTAAATAATGTAGAAAGAAGGAAATAAACAGGAAAGTAAGTGCCTGCTTAGGCAAGGGCAGGGACTGGGGTTCTATCCCTGGTACCATATGCCACACTGGCCCTACCGCCAGGCAAATGAGCTGGCCATCAAGTCCAGATGTGGTGGCACATGCCTGGAATCCCAGCACTGGGGAGGCTGAAAACAGGAGGATCACTACAAGTCTAAGTTACATAGTGAGACCTTGTACCAAATACAAAAAAAAAAAAAAAAAAAACAGTGGAAAAAAAAAGTCTTAGGGCCGACCAGATAGCTCAGCAGACTAAAGCACCTGCTCAGGCAGGTGCAACAATTAAGGTTGAATGCCTGGTGTGCAATACCGGCCCCGCCCCAGGATGCACTAAGAGGACAACTGAGACTGGACATGGTGGCACACAACAGTAATCCCAGTGGCTTGGGAGGCTGGAAATAGGAGGATCACTGTGAGTCTAATCTGTGTAGTGAGACTCTGTAGACCCTGTACTAAAATACATTAAAAAATAAATAAATAAAATATCTTAACAGGAAAATAACATGATATAGATAAGTCAGTTACCCATCAGTTATAACCATTAATGTTAATGGTCTCAAAATTCTAAACAACCCAAACTTCTATTCATAGGATAAACAAATGGTCACATCATCTCTATGTGGCACAAGCAATTTCCAACACAGTATTTCTTTTGACTCTTCGCTGTACAGAAAAGAGTTAAAAGTGTACCTAACACTACAATCCTTAGAAGAACCTGCTCATAATACTGGTCCTTAGCTGATTTCTGCAACCCTTGATTTCTGAAGGAAGGGTTCCCAGTATTCTCTGATAAAGAATGGCTTACTGGCCTAAAGTGTGACAATATGGTTTTAGCTGAAATATCTTTCTTCTTAGCATCTAGAACTTTGTATATGTTTGTAATAGAAGCTGCCTACTCTAAAAATTAACCTTAGGCATTTAATCTCTCAGAAGCTTACCTTTTTAACATGCATTATCACAACTCATTGCTAGGAGAATTAATTATGCTCACCTCAACGTGACTCTAAGAACTCTGAAAGCCTATGCTATTTTCTACCAGATTTCACCCGATATGTCTTTGCTGACTTTACTCTGTAACCTGCATTAACAAGTTGTTATGGTTTATACTAGATATTCCCCTAAAGCCTCATGCTTCATAGGTAGGCCTTTTGGAAGGTGACTAAACTGTATGGCAGACTGCTGGCTCAATGTCATGTGGAGGTGTGGCAGAGGGTTAAATCCCTACCCAGCTCCGCCCTTGACTTTCTCTGCTTCCCCACAGTCATATGAGTAGCTTTTCCTCGACCATACCCCTGTACTATGCTGCCCTGCCTTGGAGCCATCTGACTGTAGGATGAAACCTGTACAAACTGAATCAAAATAAACCTTTCCTCTCGTATTTACTGGTCTTAGATATTTTATCCCAGTAATGAAGAAAGTAAGAGCACAAGGCATAGCCATGAATATAAATATATGCTAAGTCCCATTACCCTGTCTAGTGAAATCATCAAATCTTGGGGTGTTTTAAAAACTCCTAACAGAAATAAACAAAAAGCTCAGTATAATTATTCTTTTAAAGGAACTGTAGATAAGCTGTAAGGTTTAACACAAATTTTTACCTCTTCTTTTTTTATATCTTTTTCTTGGTGCTGAAAAAACTCTACCTTCAGACTCCCTGATGATGGTTGCTCTGGAGGAGGTAGATAACTCTTTGTATTCACAGCATCAAAAAGTTTTTCCACAAATATCTGTGTTTCTAAAAATTAAAAAAGAATGATAGGGGCTGGTGAGATGGCTCAGTGGTCTAAAGCACCTACTTAGAACAAGCTTAGCAAAGCACAGGGACCGCGGTTCAATCCCCAGCACCACATGCCAGCAAGCCCCGCCCCCTGGTGGGCTGAGCTGGCCACACACAAAATAAATAAATAAATAAATAAATAATTAAAAAAAAAAGAATTTGTAAAAAAAAAAAAGAATGATAGATTAAAGAACATTTTAGAAAAATACTAATTCCCTACTTATACATATTGGACCTCTAATATAATGAAATCTACCTTGATTTTTATAATATACAAGTTTTAGTAGAAGACTAACAGCTTCTCAACTAGTGAAAATGGCCTAAGTCCATGGTAATGATTCATTTATTTCAATTTTCAAGGTGGTAGAGACTGCACTGGCCAGATCTTCTAAGTAACTTCCAGCTATAACTAGTCTTCTCCATGTAGTCCCCCCACCCCCGTAATTAACAACAAATATCTAGATGTGAGCAAAGCCCAAACAAGTTGAAAACAATATGCTAAACAAAATTCAAAGTAGCTTGCCAAGCACCATCTTTAAATAAACAATCTTTTCTTAAATTTCAATCCATATAAGAACATGTAGGGGCCGGGGAGATGGCTCAGTAGAATAAGTGCTTGCCTGGCAAGCATAAGGCCCTGAGTTCAATCCCCGGTTCCGCAAAAAAAAAAAAAAAAAACACGTAGCAGGTATTGTGGCACACCCCGTTACCCCCACGCTCAGGAACATGAGGTAGGAGGACTGGAGGATTGCTGTCAATTCCAGGCCACCCTAGGCTATACAGTGGGTTCAAAGGCAGCCTGAACTATGTAGCAAGACCCTGTCCCAAAAACGAAAGAGGGGAAAAAAAAAAAAAATCAGAATCTTTTAAGAATAAACAAAGAAAATTATTTTAAAAAATAAGCATAAAGATATTAAATGAGAAAAGTTTACATCTTAAATAAGCTCTAGATATTATCAATGGTAACACTGGTTTTTCAGCTTTCTTACAATTACAGCCTATCTCTTACTGAGTTCCTTTAATACTCTGTGAATAATGTTTTAAATAAGTTACTAAAGTAAAATAGTATTTTAAAACCAAAGATCTTACCTTTCTGAAGAAATACGTCCAGCTGATCAATACATAATGCCTTTAACTCTTTTTCACTTTTGTCTTTCTTTACCAAAGCCAGAACATATTTTGCTAGGGCTGATGGATCTGCATCACAACTAAAGAAAAATGGCAATGTTGAAGGACAGTTAACTACAAACACCTATACCTTCTACAAATCCCAAACTCACTTAGAGTGAAACCTAGTTATGTGATTTAATATATGCAAAAAGCAGCTCGCTCTTGGAAGGTACTGAAAAATACATTTTTCTCTTCAATATATCTTGCTACCATCTATCCACTCATTCCTCTCTCTACCACCTTCCTTCACTGTATTGGGAACTGAACACAGTCTTCACACTGAGCTCTATCCCACATCCTTTTTATTTTTATTTACTTATTTTAGGCAGGGTCTCACTAAGTTACAAAACTGTCCAGCTCAAACTTTCAATCTTCCTGCCTCATTCGGAGAGCTTTGGAATTACAGTAATGAGCCACCACATCCAGCTTCACTTCAAAAACATAAACAGTATACCAATTAACTCAGAGGAATACTAGAAACAGACCCAAACATTAAAAATATGTGTTTAAAATGGCATCCAAATCAATAAAGAAATGAACCATGCAATAAATGGTATTCACACATTTGGCAGTTACTTTTTAGAAAACATGGATACACAATTTAATCCATATATTAGAGTAAGTACAAAACTGTGAAAGTATACGAAACAATTTTTAGAGAAGCAAAATGAATTATTTTGTATCTCTAATGAAAACTTTTTCCCCATTTTAAAATTTAATAGCAAAAAATATAGAGAAATAGAGAATTTCAGTAAACAAGATGATAGCAACTCAACAAAGGTTATTACATTACATATTGTTGTGTCCAAATTAGTTGTTTAGATTACCAGATATAAGCATGCAAAATTGGTCAAAAAAACTAAAAAAAAAAAAAAAAAAAAAAAAATGCCTGACTTGAAATTATACTACAAAGCTACTATGATTAAAAAAAGAGAGAGCGAGCTACTATAAAATCAGCATGGTACTGGGGAAGAAAAAAAAAAAAAAAAAAAAAAACCCTGAGGGTCAATGGAACAGATCAGAAGATGCAGACAAAATTACAATCTCTGCCACCTTATCTTTGACAAAGGGTCCAAACATGTTCAGCCTCTTTAATAAAAGGTGCTAGAAAAACTGGCTTTCCACATGCTGAAGACTAAAAGTAGACTCCATGTTTATTACCATGCACTAAGCTAAAGTCAAAATTGCCCAAAGATCTAAATATTAAAACAGAAACACTGAATCTACTGGAGGTGAGAGAAGGTAGAAACCTTGAAGATACAGGGGTTGGCAGACAGTGGATAAACAAAGAGACCTTTTGAGTTATGAGGCAAATCAATACATAACTAGAATAACATGACTATTAAAAGAATTGCTCAGAAGTTAAAAAAGAAAAAGCTCAAATAGTTAACTTAGTAAAAAAAAAAAAACAAAAAAAAAAATACATTCCCCTAACATGTAGAGTGTCTATTATACAAAATTTTTTCTGTTATTTCTTTGAGACAGGTTCTCACTATATACGTACACCAGGCTAACCTAAACCTGGACAATAATAGTCTTACAAAAAATATAATAATAATATATGTCACACAATCAAAAGGTGAATCTTACAGACAGTGGATAATTTTGGCTGCACATTAGAATCGTCTAAAGAAAAACCTGATTCCAAGTGGATAATTTTGGCTGCACATTAGAATTGTCTAAAGAAAAACCTGATTCCAAGCAAACAGAGAGGCCTAAGTCAACCCTCTTTATTTTGCTTAGCTGCAAAATACAAAGGCTGCACAGGCTAAGCCTGACAGAGTCAAGAGTTGAGAACTATTGCCAGTAAGTAGAAAACAAATACAATATTCATCATAGGTGCTATAACTTAAAGTATAGCACTGAAATAATTTGAAAAATATGGAACTGGGGATTCAGCACAGCGGTGCAGCACCTCCTTAGCAAGTGTGAGATCCTGAGTTTGATTCTTACTACAAAAAAAAAAAAAAAAAAAAAACAACCCTAATGCATCATCAAATTCTTCATTTCTTCACTCAGAAAGTACAGCCTAAACTCCCCAGACTTGACAATAGGATTAATTTAGTGACTTGCTTCTAAAACAGACTATTTGGTATGGTCTTACTTCTGAGACTAGGTTCAAAGGTAGTGTGGTTTCCTATATATTCTTTCTTCAACCACTGCTCTGGGAAAATCAACTGCTGTTAGGACACTTACACAGCCTTCTTGGAGAACATTAGGCTATGCAGGATGAAATGCAGCCTTCAGCTAACAGCTCCATGTGACTGAGCTGTAAAGAAGATTCTACAGTCCCACAGAACCTTGGGAACACTGTAGGCCTGAAAAAGTCTGACTAAAATCTTGATTGAGGAACTGAGTCAGAAAAACCCAGCTAACCTGCTCCCATAGTTACTGACTCACAGAAAACCATGAGATAATAAATGTTTATCATGTTACTAAATTTCAGGGAAATCTGTTATTTCAGTAATTATAAATCAACTTTTCTCAGAAATCTATTTCCATTTATCTACAAAGATTTGTAGTTATAATCTAAAAGGTGAGTAGGACGTCATCCAATTGTGCAAGAATAAAACAAGACAAAATAACTTTCTGTAAAATATTTATCATATTAACATTTTCTTTTAAATACAAACAATAATTTATGATAAATTAGATTTTTGAGTCCTAATAAATGCAAAAATGGTAACTATGATCAACTAAGCATGAAAATATCCAGCAATCTATTAATACCATATAACAATATTGTAAAATGAATAAGCACAAGCAACTAAAACTCCATTTAACTAGACATCAAGCGAAATATTCTTCAGTTTACTGGAAATTATTTTGATATATAATAAATATTACTAGGTACTAGAACATTCTACGCTGGGTCCAAATGCTACACTGGTATTACAGTGGTTTACTGGGATGAATTTCCAATTTCATGATGGCCTTTTTAATGACGTGTAAGTTTCCATTTGTCTTAAACATTAAACCTATTTCATCCTCACATTACTTTAAATACGATACTTTAAAAATGAATTAGTATGTTAGCAGTTAAAACTTGGAAGGAAGATTTGTTATTTTCATAATAGCTATTGTCAAGATAGAACTAGTGAACAATCTTTGCTCAACATCTGCAGGAAACAATTTGAATTGGATCAACAAAACCCAGTAATAGCCACAAGAAGAAATAAGTTATCAGCTTTGTTGGTGGTACACTCTAGTAGTCTAAGCCAGGAACATAGCAAGTTTGAGTCACTGGTCCGGGCAACTTAGTGACTTAGTGAGAAACTCTATGTCAAAATTTAAAATAAAAAGGGCTCAGGATGAAGCTCAATACAAAGGCTCCGGGCTCAACCCCCAGTACCTGGAAGGAGAGAAAAAGGCTCCCAAATACTTTAATTCTAAATGCTTGAGATAGTCTAAAAAGCAGATCACTTTTAAATATGTTAGAATTCAAATTATATAGTAGAATCAAGGGTCATAATTTCACATTTACTATTAAAACAAGTAATTTGCATCAGACAGGCAATTTTTCTTAAGTCCTCTAAGTCATTTTACTACAACTGGCATATTCTGAAAACAAAAGTTATATACGCCCTATCTACAGCTGAACAGAAAATAATCTGAAACACATAACCTCAATAATGCATCAAGGGGTCAGGGAGATAGCACAGTAGAAAAAGCACTTGGCTGGCAAGCGCAAGGGCCTGAGTTCCAATCCTCGGTTCTGCCAAAAAAAACCACAAAAAAACAAAAAAAAAAGAAAAGAAAAAAATAATAATAATGCATCATAATGTTACGGATGAGGGGAAGAGAAAATATGCCCTTTTTTCACTTGTTTCAATTAAAAATATTGATGCTACAGTAGCTAAACATCTCAAAAATAACTTGCTATGCAAAGTTAACAAAATAACTTTTAAGTTACCTATCAAAATAAAATTATATTCAGACAGTAAAGGGTTACTTTTAGAAAGCTGTTCCATGACTACCAACTCTGTTCATAAGGTATTTTACTATACTAGCTGCTACTACTCCAGGCATGTTTATGATTTGAATGACACACAAATTGTCAGAACTACACTCCCTTCTCTGCTAAGTAGGACTGAAATCTTATAAATCACAAGGAAAAGGAGGTAATAACAAAGTTTTGAACATGAACTAGTCATGTGTAGTCTCTGGACCTGAAAGTATCTGAAATAGAGTACTGTAAGAGAAAATACCTATATAAATCTATTGCATTAGATCAGTATCTCACTTCTATCAGGGACAACAGGTAAACATTGATGAACAAAATAAGAATATAATTGACTATATTGGGTTGGATGAGCTTCCAAATATCACAATCATTCAATAATACTTAATATGCACTATGTCAGATAATGTTTTAGGTTTGAGGACACAACTTAGGAAAAAAAAAAGTGCCTATGCCCACAGAATTTACAGTAAAGGTGGAGGCAGACAGACTACACATAGTAGGCTATACTATCATGCAGAAAGGTATTGTGAAGAGAAATAACTGAGGGTAAAAGTTTAAGTACAGAGGAAAAAGAAGACCTACAGGAAAGAAAGGGGAGGAAGCAAGAAAAGTAATAAATACAGGAAAAAAATTGACGATGAAATATTTAAACAGACATCTGAACTTAAAAGACATTTGAATGGAATGCAAGCATGCTTCTTGGGTACCCTGGGAAAAGGACACCCAAACTGAGGAACTGCAATAGCAAGAGCCTGAGGCAAGAACCTCATTGATACATACAATGAAAAAGATGCCAGTGAAATGAAGTAATACCTATAAACACTTGGATTTCCAATCCCTCTTCAAGGATTTCAAATTAACTGTTTCAGTGACCTTTGAAAAATTAATCTAGATCACTATAAAGTCATTTACACAATGATTAAAAGGTACAAAAATGCTATCTCTGAATATACTGTGTTAAGGATACAACTAGTAAGCTTACATTTTATTTTTAAGAATAATGTGAAGAGGTCCAACTTCATGCATAACTCTGAAAAGCACAGAGGTGACTAGGTAAGAGGATTACTCCTCTCC